TATTTTAATCTTAAAAGTATTTCTGTGGTAGCTTAATTTTTTCCTTTTTATTTTTCATAAGAAAAGTGTTATCAGGAAGGTGTGTCTAAAATGGATGTTTATTTTCTGGGTGCGTTTGGAAGTAGACTGGTGCTTATCTTGACACTGCCCCCCAAATCACCTTCTTCTGAAATAATTTGCTTTGGTGTGTTTGGCATATTTGAAAATGTTCCCAGTGGCCACAGACGGGCAAAAGCTTTTCCTTGAAGGGTTTATTAGTTATATATGTCATAAGTATAACTTCAAGTCTCCTTAACTCTCACCAAAAGCTTTACACTGATAGACAAGATTTTTCCAAAACTGTTCACAATGTCATTTAGATAAAGCATAAGGATCTATACAGAGGATTTTTAGGGCCAGAGAATAGTCTAACACAGTGGTTCTCAACCTTCCGAATGCTGCAACCCTTTAATACAGTTCCTGTGGGTCACAACCCACAGGTTGAGAACTGCTCTAACAGGAGCATTTCTATGATTTTCCCCCAAACTATAATGTGCCTTAGTTCCGAAAACCAGCCCTGGTCACAGTGAACATCACTTGATCTTACCTGCCAGCTGCAGGTAAAGTTCTCAAAGCTCAGGAGGAAACACAGGAATTCCACAGCCTCTGGAGGAGAGGGGAACCTTTGGGAATGACATTAACCTGGGTTTCTGGAGAGGAGTTTGTTCAGAACAGGAAAAAGGATTCTGTTACTAAATAAAAGCTTTGAAAAGACAAAGCCTTGGGGCATCTTGGTTTGAGGGACTCTTCTCCTTTTATTCCAGCTTTCCTAGGTGCCCTAAGAAAATCTGCGATGGGCCAGCACAGTGAGCTCCTCCTTTTCTCTCTTCCAGGATGACTTGCTGACCTTGAAGGTTGTGAGTGTGCTACACCATCTGAGTATCAAGAGGGCCATCCAGGTCCTGAGGCTCAATAACTTCGAACCAAACTGTCTGCGGAGGCGGCCGTCTGACGAGGTAGCGTTTTAAGATTGAGGCTGCAGGCTGCACCTCCATGCATATGACTGTCCATGTGTGTGAAATTAAGACTCGTTTCTTCTGGGAGCCTGCAGGGGAAGCTGGCAGCCTCGGAGGCCCCAATCCCAGCCTCGTTTGTTCTTAGACTTTGTTTTTCCGTACTTCTTCTTTCCCATCTCCCACCCGACACTTGTGAAACTAAAACCAAAGCCTGTTTTTCAGTGAGGCTTCCTCCTTTTCTTGGGTATATTTTTTTCCTGCCTCTTTAGCCCACAGCCATAAATACCACAATAATGAATTTCTTTTCCAAAGCAATATTTATTAGTATGAAGGAAAGCTTGAAATTCCGTGATGTAAATTCTTTAAAAGAGAATTCAAATGAGCAAACACACTTTTTCTCCTTTCCTTAAGCATTGAGTGAAATGTTGAGGAACGGTGCCCCATGGGGCAAGCTTCTTAGAACATGGAGCGTAATATTCAGGATCCTGTGGCCAACAACTAAAGCTCTGGGTGGTTGTTTGTTCCCATAGAACAGCATCACCCCATCAGAGGTTCAGCAGTGGACCAACCATCGGGTGATGGAGTGGCTGCGCTCCGTGGACTTGGCGGAATACGCCCCCAACCTCAGAGGCAGTGGTGTCCACGGTGGACTCATGGTAAAACTCTGTTCCAACTTAATGTTGACTTATTTGGTTTCCTTTAGACTAATGAGTAGGATATTAGCAGTTTGCTTGTCCTAATCCTAAGATCATCTGACCCAACCCTCCTGCATTATTTCTAGGGAATCTTTCCTTTCAGAGTATTTTTATTGATGTCCCTCCCATAACTCTACGTTGCATTGGAGCCCAGCTCTCTTTTATTGCCCTCTTTCATGTTGCATAACATCTAGCCATTCTCATAGGACCATGTTTTAAAACCCCTGCAAAGATACAGATTGTATTTCTGAATATTGATGTCGCTTGCATGAGGAGCTGGCTTCCAAAGGCAGCACCCCAGAGATAAAAGCACTGATGTTGTAATGCCTGAAGTCTGGATTGCAGGACCAGCTCTACCGCTCAGTAACTCAGGCAAAGTGATGAAAAAAGATATGTAAAGATCAAAGTCCATACCCTGCCCACCTCCCTGGGCTGTTGACAGGGTCGTTGGAGATAACTGAAATGAAAGAGCTTTGCAGGTTGAAAGCACAATGCAAACGTGTCTGACCCATGAGGCCTTTGAACAATCTTAGTTTGGTTTTCTCTTACAGGTTCTAGAACCTCGTTTTAATGTAGAAACAATGGCTCAGTTACTGAACATCCCACCAAATAAGACTTTGCTGCGGAGGCATTTGGCTACTCATTTCAACCTTCTGATCGGTGCTGAGGCCCAACGCCAGAAGCGAGACGCCATGGAGTTGCCAGACTATGTACTACTGACAGCTACTGCCAAAGTGAAGGTTGGTTCAACCTTGTACCATTTAGTAACTGCCTGAAGCAGTGGCTCAGTTTTGACCATTACCTGATTTACTATCTTCTGAGGTTTACTAAATTTTATAGGAGAGTTGAAGGTGTATCTTTAGGAGTTATTGAAAAAATCCATTTTTGAAGGTTTCTGCCAAGTCATTTATTTTATTGGGGTTAACGATAATAAAGAGCATGGTGGTTTCTGTGATCAATTTATTGCCAATGCAGACAGCCCGAGACTTGGGTTGCAACTGTCCTCTTTTTCCTATGGCCAAGTCAAATACAAGAGGAAGATTTCTCCTTGCACAGATTCAGCTTGTCTGGCTTATAATTGACCAGCATTGCAAGTTAGGAAAAGGTATTTAAGGAGTGATTGAAGGAAAACTAGCAGAAACTAGGTATTTCCTAATTTACTTAAATTTGTGGATCTTACCAAATTCAGATTATTGGTTCTTCTTTGAAATCATTCCTACATGTTATCTCAACGAACTTCATGTGAAGATAAGATTTACCAACTCCTCCAGAAACATGTACCAAATTCTTTTTTTTTTTTTTTTGCCCATCTGCGTAAGCCACTTCTCTTTGGATCCTTTAAATGATGTGTCAGGTTTGAAAACTCTGCAGAAGTCTGTTCCAGTTAAATTCTCATTAGACTGGATCACTTTTTCCTTGGAGTTTCTCTGCTAAGCATCACTGGAAGTTTTTTCTCCAAAAGAGTGAGAATTCCTGTAGCAGTCACAGGTCCTATGTGCAGCAGAACAGGCATATAGGATAAGTGTAGCCTCACCCAAAGAGAAAATATAATGGCTTAGATGGGAAACCTTGAAAGATCGGATTCAGCCCTGAGAAATCCATTGCATTAAGTCCTGTCTAATCAAAATTAAGGTTCTTGGCATATTTTGCTTATCAGAGGGACCATCCAGCTAGTTGATGTGAATAAGATTTATCTTCTGAGATTTGTAACAAGGATCATTTATCACATTTAGACAAATCACTTATGTGACTGTGATGCTCTTGTTTTTGTTATAGAAATGTTATCATCCAATTGCTTTTCTCAATATGACAGAGTAAATAATTAAATTACACATGTAGGGGAGGGGAGGTGCAAAAAAATTAAATGTTAGGTCGGGTGTGGTGGCTCACACTTGTAATCCCAGCACTCTGGGAGGCTGAAGCAGGTAGACTGCTTGAGCTCACAAGTTTGAGACCACCCTGAGCAAGTACAAGACCCTGTCTCTAAAAAAATAGCTGAGCGTTGTGGCAGGCACCTGTACTCCCAGTTATTTGGGAGGCTGAGACAAGAGGATCACTTGAGCCCAGGAGTTTGAGGTTGCTGTGAGCTATGATGCCACGGCACTCTACCAGGGGCAAAAAAGTGAGGTTCTGGCTCAGTGCCCGTAGCACACTGGTTACGGCACCAGGCACATACACTGAGGCTGGCAGGTTCGAACCCAGCCTGAGCCAGCTAAACGACGACAACTGAAACAAAAAATAGCTGGGCATTGTGGCATGTCCCAGCTACTTGGGAGGCTGAGGCAAGAGAATCACTTAAGCCCAAGAGTTTGAGGTTGCTGTGAGCTGTGATGCTCCAGCACTCTACCCAGGTAACATAGTGAGACTTTGTCCAAAAAAAATTACACATTATCCGTCCTTGTCTCATGAATTTTCCAAATCCCTGGATGTTTTTGTTCACTTTTCTTTTAAAGCCAAAGAAACTTACCTTCAGCAATTTTGGGAATCTGAGAAAGAAGAAACAAGAAGATGGTGAAGAATTTGTCTGTCCAATGGAATTGGGACACGCGTCAGGAAGTGCATCTAAGAAGGGATTTAAACCTGGTTTGGACATGCGCCTGTATGACGAAGATGATCTGGACCGACTAGAGCAGGTAAGTACAGCTAGATGCCTCCCTGAAAGTGAGTGGAAACTGTGCACACCATGTCTGCTAATCAAGGATGTTTTCTTCAAACAACTAAATATAAAGATGATGAAATAGTAGTAAACGCTTTCAGATCGCTTACTACATTCCACGTACTATGCTGAGTCCTTACTAGATTTTAATGCTCCTGGTGATCTTAAGACATAGAGAGTATTATTGTCCTCATTTTAAGATAAGAAAACTGAGGCATGGAGAGCTTACGTGACTTGCCCAAGGTCTCCCTACCTATTCTATCTACCTATACATCCTGTATGAAGGCAATCTACATGTTAAAATAAGTCAGGAATTGACAGGTCGTGCTACCTAACCTTTTCAGATTAAGCTCACTGGACTACACGTAGCTGTCTAAATCAGCGATCCTCTGGTACTGTTACCCACGTCATTAGATTAGTTATGTCAGTGAAATGCTGCTTCTGATTTTTCACTTCAGATCGTTGCAGTAAGAGATTATCATCAGAAGTGTTCTGTTCCTCCTCCCTATTCAGTAGCGTTTGCATTATTTCTTTTAGACTTTTGTTCATTTTGCTGATTTTCCTTGAGATTAATTAAATGAATATGTCACATTATGGTTTGTTCTTTACAGATGGAAGATTCAGAGGGGACAGTGAGACAGATAGGGGCATTCTCAGAAGGCATCAACAATCTGACGGTAAGTTGGTGAAATGAATTGAAAAGGTTATTCTAAAAATATCTTTCCAAATCACCCCAAAGGACTGCCCTGACTTTGGGGAATGCCTAGTTCTGAGGTCTTGGCTGTCAGGGTGTGACTCCCTGTCCCCTTGTTTTCCAGCACATGTTGAAAGAAGATGACATGTTTAAAGACTTTGCTGCCCGCTCCCCCAGTGCCAGCATCACAGACGAAGACTCCAATGTTTGACCCAGCACTGGGATGAACAGGAGGCGCTGTTAGTCTGTCCTCCACTTTCTTCTGCAAACGCCCGCAGTCCACATACAACAAGCCACAGACTGCATATTGTTTGTTGTTCCAAACAGACTCGGAAAGTAGGGGAGACACGCCAAGGCTGAAGGTGCCACGAAAACGAAGACACTGGTGAACGAGAGTGTAATTGTTGTTCCTCTATTTAATGTAAAAATCTGTGATATATTCTATTTAAAGTGTTGCATTTAAGATGAGTATTTTACCCTAGTGTTTTCATTCATATCTACAGTATGGAGGACTGCGGGGGCCGGAACTGGTGTGCAAATGATTTTGTCACATCCATGCTCACTGCAGCTGTCTCAGTAGGACATTATGTGCTTTCAGAATAAGTATGTGGAATTCTTCAAAACGCATTCAGTGTACCTGCTAAATGCCAGCCACACCTCTACTTGCCTCTTATTATCTTTTTATATATTTTTCTAAATATATGTGTATATATATATATAGTACATAGAAAATAGAACTTTTATTTTGTGACATAAAGAAGATGGTGAAAAGATCACATTTTTTAAAATATATGGTGACCAAAATTTCCGTATACCAGCTGGTTCCTGAAAAGGTCGGAATGATCTTTCTTTCACCACAACTGAATTTTAACAATGTTGATCATTGAGCCTAAATTAATATATGTGAAACATCCCTCTTTTGATGACACACCACAAAATTGTTGAACAGTTAAAGAATTTCAGCCTTAAGCTTGGGTCTTTTTACCTCATAAGGAAGAACTTGAGGGACATTAGTATATTAACTTGAATCTATCCAGAAACACCCCCCCCCAAAAATTCATAGAAATAATTTCTGAAGAAACCAAAAACAACACAAAAACCTTTACAGTATTAAGTTTCCTATTTTTCTCTCTTTTAAATATATCATTACATCAGAATACTAAGAGTCTACCTAAACACCTTAATTATACATTTCCCAGGCTATAGATGAATGGAGAATTTTAAAAGCTGAATATTTATCTGAATATTTTGTTTCGGTCAGAGTTCAAAAACACCAAGGCTGCAAAATTAGTTTTAACATGGCTCTTTTGTAGGGATAAAATGTAGTTCATGATTTTCTCTAGCTACCATTGGACCCAAATATTTTTAAAGAAAACAGAAAGCTGCAACAAAAGAAATTACTGGATTTTTTTTTTAGGAGTATTAAAGTATAGTATTGTTATTCAGCACTACGTAATAACTCGTGATAGCCAACTGTAGAAAGACAGGTTTTCACAGTTTGAGGTGGAAGCAGGCAGTTGTTACATGCCAGAAGACTTGGTTATAGTAAACTACTGTATTTTGCTGTATACAATGCATGCTTTTTTGCCCAAATTTTTGAGAGAAAAATAAGGATGCACATTATACATTGGGTGATACAGCTGAGAAGGCCAGCAGGCCCCCCAGGGCTCCATGGTGGGGGTGCTGGCAAGGTGGGCCACCTGGAGGGGTTTGGGATGCCTGTGCAGACCCCAGGGACCTGCCTGGCTGCCTATAGGGCAAGTGGCCTTAAAAAGCTCCCACCCGCCTGCCACACATGTGGCCACCTTGGCCGGGAGGGCCCCTAATGTGGTGGGAAGGGAAGGGTCCCCCAGGAGAGAGGGGAGGAGAAGGCTTCAGAGAGCAGGCAGCTGCGAGGGGGGGGGGCGATCTGCATGTTTACCAGGGGAGGGGTAGCCTTCCCCAGATGTGTCTCTCCCAGCTGAGAGCTGGCCACTTTCTTGAGAGTCATTTTCCTGAAAGTTTGGGCAAAAAACTTAGGTGCACATTATCCATGGCAAAATAGGGTATATCTTTTAGGTTATCAGCAAGTTACCAAGCTATTTAGCAGGAAACCAGTAATACTCAATTACTATTTATTCATAATGAAAATGATCTGATGCTAATGATAATTTTTTTGAATCCTACCATTCAGTAGTTGGTACCTGCATTGGCCTCTTAACTGTATTGGGGTTTCATTTTAAGATGACTGTGTCACCACTTGAAAAACTCTATTTGTTATCAGAACCTGTCTGAAAATACCAGGAGACTGTTACAGATGCCAAATATTCTCTATTCAGGGCAATATAACATAACTGATGATACATGTAATGAGCTTAAAATTTTTTTGGTGATGTATTTTATCTGCAAAATATCATCCACTGCTGGTATTACCATATGAAAAGAAATAAAGTCAAATAAAGTCAAGCTGCCTATCTTTATTATGGTTACTTCATCTGCCTTTGTTCACAGTAACAAATTTTGTGTCTGACATAGGAGACAGTAACACAAACTCTCTGCAGTTTGTAAATGACCATAGGTTCATTTGAGTGGGGTTCATAACATGTATCAACAGACATTTGAAGTCTTTCCCCAAGGAACTGGTCTAAAAGGAGACACAGGCAGGTGAGCTGGGGAATAAGGAATCATGGCGGAAGGGCTATAGGAAAGTAAACAAAAAGGAATCACCTACAAATTTGAAGAAATTAGGTAGAGAAAAACTATAGGGTCTTTGAAGACCTAGCATACTATTTTTAATTGAACTGTAATTTGGGAAAAGGAAATCTATCTTGGAAGAGATTACCAAAGATTAAAAGTAAGGACTATTA